AAATACAATAATGAATATATAACAACTACTAATAATATAATATACTATGCTATACTAAAAATCTACTTTGTAACATTAGTTTAATACAAAAAAAAACAAAAAACAAATAGAATTAATTAGATTATATAAATCATAAGAACTAGATAGAAAGACAAAAGCCTATTTAGAAGATCTAATTAGAGAGGTAATCCAAACCTTTAATAGTATTACTATAAAGACTAGACCTATAAAATAGAACTAGAACTTGTAAAACTAGACAAAAAACTGATCTTTGAGAAGGAATCGAATAAAATCAACCAGATCACTAGAATTTGTTTTGAAGAAAAAAGATACATATCAGCAAACATGTAAACAAAAGATGTATGATTATGATCTGCTTTCTAGACTATCTGGTTTGAGATCTTGATAGAACTTAAATTAAATATCAAAATAATAAGGATATGTTGTGAAATTAGTATCAAGATTGGGATAAACTCTACAAGACTATAGTAGTTTAATAGTATATCCTGATCATCAGTATTGGTCTTAGCTATAATGATATTGGATCAACTGTAAGAATAAAATACAAAAAATTCTGAAAGGTTTAGTATAAGATCAAAGATTTCTCATATGAGTAAACTGTTTTAAAAACTTAGTGATCATGATATATTTTCATTAGCATTAATCAAGATCATTGGTAGACAAAAGTAGGTAAGTAGATACAGAAACTAGAATAGTTAAATAGAAAACCTACAGACAAGTTTCAGATGTAACAACTAGTATAAATATACTTGTTGGCAAAATCCCAAACTATTATAAAATTAGTTTGTCCATGCCCAAATCCCAAATTCTGGCCAAATTCATATCTCAAAAATTTAATTAATAATCCTTATTCAAACTAATATCAGATATTCTTATAGTCATATATAATATATTAGCAAAATTTCAATACTATTTTTTTGATTCAATTTTTTATAAATAACAATTGTTTTTTTGAATTTGTCTAGGTTTTGCCATTTTGTTGGCAAGTATAAGTATAAAACCTTTAGGCAAACTACTTAAATTAGACAATGACTAAAGTTGTATAAGTAACTAATTGTACACTCTTTTCATAGTTGCCTCCTGTGATTGTAATGCAACTATTAGCCAAATATACTATCAATAAAATCCTGGATCACAAGTACTCACCTTAATATTTAAAAAAAAAAGCAAATAGAATTAATCCCACAAATAAAAAACAAGATAAAAATATATCAAGTAATAATACAACTTATAGACATTTAAAAGAAAAAAAAGATAATATATTAAATAATCAATATCAATTTATAAAAAAAAAAAAAGATGATGAAAAGAAAGTTTAAGAATCATAATTAGATTTAATTGTTGATTTCATTAAAAAGAAAATAAAATTATTTTTTTATAACTTTAATAACTAGTTTGGTATAACCTTTTGATCAGATTAATTTCTGACCAGTGTGACAGACCACTTCCGAATGCTTATAAAAGTAACCAGAAGATGTTGAACCAGAATTTAAACCAACTTTGTACAAATATATATACAAGAATCTTAATAAAGATGATTGGCAAGGCTGCCAAAGATTAAAAAAAAAATTTATATTTATAAAATATAAATTTATTATTTTAAAACAAAATATATAAAAACGTTTTTTGCCATCATGTGCACGTGCAGGCAGTGTTGTCAATAAACAGCTTTGAACACAAGTTTGGACATTTTTGAACAAAATATAAATTAACAAATTATATACTTTTCTAAGTAAAAAAAAATCAAGAACGTAAAAAAATATATAATCATATATTTTTAAACTAATTTATTAATTATTAATTATTAGAGCTTGGACACACTTTGGACACTCGATGTTGAAAATGGTGAAAAATGTACAACACTGCGTGCAGGCACTTGCGAAACTCTATTTAAATCAAGTTACAACAATATCATATAAGATACGATTTGCTTATAAATCAATAATGCTGAATTCAAAAAACTTTAGATTAAAAGGTAACAAAAAATATTCCAATTATGAGTTTAATTTTTTTTTTTACATTGATAAATAGATATCCAAATAATTTTTCTGTCACATAAAAAGCACTTCACAATTTCAAAAAAATAGTCTATTTGATTTATTACCTCTTTCAATAACCTGAAACTCTTTATTCAAGCTGGTGAACAGGAAATTGAAATTCGACATCTTTGCTGGTAAGGTTTTTGTATACCGATTTGAAGGTGTCCAGTTTATATTCTAAAGATGTAGCATCCTTACTATCAAGAAAGCTAAAAAAAAAAATTAAATCTCATCAATTATAAATTGAAACACAGCAATCGATAATTATTTAATAGAAAAGTCGTAATACACTTTAATAGTCTTGCTGCCATCGACTTTGACACACGTCCTTTTACCCACAATCTCGGTTGGATACACCAAATCTTCAAGGTATTTTTCATGAACTGAAGTAAGAGTACGAGATCGAGGACGAGCTTGCTTAACACGAGACTTACGGCCGGGTTTACGTAAAATACGACGATCCGCGATGAAAACAATATGTCGGTCCGCGAATTTTTTTTCTAGTTCACGAGTTAGCCTGCACGATGTTTTGGGTAATTAATCTAATGGCTGCATAGAATACTCAATAAACTCTTCAATACGGAAAATGAACCTTGGTTGGATTTTGTGAAATTGTTTCAATGCAGGAACCGGCACAAAAATCACAATGGCCTTTTTACCTCCACCTAATTCGTACTTAAAAATACGATATCAACAAATAGTTTATTAATCGATTCATGTAATAAATCGATGTCACATTGCTTCTTTAGACTTTTCAAACCTCTTTAGCGTCAGTAATTTGTAAGGGCTTTAAGTCCTTTTTCAATTCTGGGACGTTATTTTCCAAATCGAAAAGGGCCTGTGCAATCTGCTTAGCAGTTTCATCCGTGGTCAGCTGACCCGACCGTTTAGCAATCTTCTTCTCGGCCATTATATAATTTTAGAAGAATTGTAGAGGAGGAAACGAAGTTGCTGATTTTTTTTTTTTTTATCAAACAAATTTTCCATCATGTGAGTGATTGTATCTTATTGGATGATCTTAAAAATTTTCGGTAAAATTAATAAATAGCATTGATGTCGATCATTTTACTTCCAATTCCTTAAAAATGAAATCGATATGCTTGGTGGACAAGTTAATATGGAATTTTCCCGGAAATATGAATCCTCATTCTTTTGCCTTTGGGGATGTCGACAATGATGAGGTAATTGCCACAAGTATTTATAGGTGTCTGTAATATATGGTATTCAATTTTTTTTTTGTAGGACAATGAATTTGTTATCGGGAACCTAAATGGTGAGTTGAGTGTGTTCAAGGGCAATCCAATTAATGGACGTCCTGTAATGACTGTTAATGGATTGGGAACGGTGGGTGGGTTCATTAAAATGAAAGGGATTGTTGAGCACTTTGATTATTGTATAAAGCTCATGTGACCCAGCTTGCTTAGATAACTTGCGTGGCTGTCGGAGATATTAAGAATTCGGGCAAGGTATATCAATGTTTTTTTTTGACAAACTCTGGGATATGGTGTCAATTGTATATATATAACGATTTTCTGTACATATAATTAAGAATTCAGTTGTCTGTGTTAGTGCAGAAGGAGAATGTAACATATTTGACATCTTAAGAAACAATTATACATCAACGACCGATGAAGAAAACGTTCCAACGAGTACTAGAAGGATTTCAGAAGCCAAAATGCCATTGATAAAGCCTAATCTCAATGATTACTCTAGATTAACATTAAATGTCCCTGTTAATTGCAATCATATATTGATTGCTGATATCGGTACGAGGCGATCATTATTTCTCTAAACCAATAATTATATTACTTTTCACATAGCACTTTTTATCTTATTATATTCCACAAGATGGTGATGGTATGAATGAGATAATTCTTGCACGCACTGATCGCATATTGCACGTATATTATTATGAAATGCCATTGCCTGCTGATGGATCGATGGTCAACAAACCTTCTAGTAAGGATCAACAAAATTTATTGACACGATCAGGCAATCTGATCACAGAAATTGCTGTAAATAGATCAAGTAAAGATAAATCAAATGTCAATGAGATAAGTCCAACACTAAAAGAAAAAAAGCAATGGTTTTTTGATGATCAGGTAAATTTGAAAGAGATTCCTATTGTTGCGAATTATGACTAAAATTGCGTAGATCACGTCATTATCTACAGCTACGGATCCTCAAACATCATCGCCATTATTGCTCGTTGGCCAGCCTGGCGGCCATTTTATGAAAATAGACAAAAATGAGAATCTAACCTGTCCTACTCAAATGTCAAATGATTTACAATGTCCTGATGAATTAACGGAAGTTTCAACAGAAGTAGCGAAAGGAATAAAATGGAAAAATGGTGAATAATATAAATATTTGGATATTACTTATGATATAAATAATTAATTTTATATAATTTTATCTGCTATAAGGCAAAAGTTATGATGTTATTGTGCTCATTACTATGGATGGTACTAATAGCGACTTATATTTATTATTATTATTATTATTATTATTATTATTATTATTATAAGATTAGATATTCATATCTAAATATTTTATTGCAGGCAACTTTACCTTTTTTGACTTTCAAACATCAACTATGTCACGTCATGAATTACAAGTGACACATAAGCTTTTTGGGATAACTGCTATAAATTTTTTCTGTGATGAAAGTGAAATATTGCCGAAAGGGCAAGATGATGACGTGTTTGTTGCATGTACGTGGAACGGCAATACTTATATAATTGACCGAGATTTTAATGTGGTCAAGTTTGAATTTGAAGGTCGAGTTTGTGCATTTGCCGCTGGTATTATTCAAGTTTAATGTAAAAAATCTTCCTTTATTCGCTTGTTATTTAATCTAATGATGTCCGCAATTAGGTCAATATGCCGTAGTGCCAGGTTGTAACGTTCCATGCTTCATCTATGTTGATTTTGAAGACCACATAACTGTGTATCACAACTTGCGAGTTAATACGAAACCTGTACAAAATTTCATGGAAGTAATGAATGACCAAGTCAGTCAGGTACGTCAGGTACATTTATATCTTATATGTTTTGAATCGAATTCGGCAATTTATAGAACATTACATGAATTGGTTTTTCATTAAATTATTAACTTTGATTCCAACATGACCGAAACAGAATTATAATGTATTCACAGATATCATGAAAGATTACGATATAGGTTATTATTAATACTTTTTACATTTTGATTCACATTAAGTCTATTCTTATTTACATAATCTGCTAAAATATATTTAAGAAAAGCAGAACCTTTCAACTGATCCTTGTCAATATTCACCCTATATCACTGGCATTTTTCAACAATGTTTGTACAAATTAGATGATTATAATACCGTAAAAGAAAATCTTGAGGAAAAAATTAAAGAGGTTTGTATTAATACGAATTTTTTTTTTTTAGCGGATTTTATTTATTTCGCCCCTAGGAAAGCTTAGTCAAAAATCAGATGCAATGTACTTTGTCATTACTGAGTTGAACATTTATTTCTCATTTCAGTTGAAAAGAGTAAAACATGAACAGATTGAAAAAGCAGAGAGTGAAAAAGAAGAAAATGAAAATGAGAGTGAAAAAACAGAGAATGAAAAAACAGAGAATGAAAAAGCAGAGAATGAAAAAGTAGAGAATGAAACATTAAATGAAGAACTAATGAGTGTAGACGATTGAACATACATTTATAAGCTTTGCCAAGTCAGCTTAATCAGTTATCTTAAAATTAAATCTGCCAGTAAGATTTCGAAATTTTGAACTATAAACTATATAATGTGAAAATTACAGCTTACTATGTTCGTATTTCATTTATTTGACTTATTACCTATATTACAATCATCCATTTTTGGAGTAACCTAACTCTCTTACCAAGAGATGGTGAAATTAATTTCGCCAAATTTCAATTTCATCGATAGTGGTGACATCATTTCACACTCACAGTCACATGCACCAATTTTATTTGCCAATATGTTATATATAAAGTTATCTGTTATACGTATAAAATTGTTTTTATTAAACGCGTCTCATTAGGAGGCATATACTGGGTGTTTGATAAGTCCCTAAGCAGGTCCCTTTTTTTTAATCACCAAATAAATTACTAACTATATAAAAAGTGCAATGATTAGTAATCGTTATAAGATAAAAACTAGTACTAGCGGAGATATAAAAAAGATCCTGTTTAGGGACTTATCAAACACCCGCTATGTATTTAAAAAAAAGGTGGCTGGCTAACATAGGCAGAAGTTCGTCTGATTGGCTAATAAATTCAATTTAATTTTACATTATTTATAGTTTAAAAAAACGAAAACTAATCATAAAAAGCTGTATAGAAGGTTTTATTAGAGCTGTAGGACTCCATAGTCAAAAATAAGATCTAATTCTTGTTCGTTTAAAAAAAACTAGCTTAGTAATAAGTTGATTTTATCAGGTTTTGAGAGTCCTACAGCTCTAATGACACCTTCAATACAGCTTTTTTTTATTTCATTATGATCAGTTTTCGTTTTTTAAAAAAGTACTTTAGACTGTATAAATAATGTAAAATTAAATTGAATTTATTAACCAATCAGACAAACCTCTGCCTATGAGGCTGGCTGTCTTACATATTCGTAGACAAAATGTTTCCTAAGTAAAAAAATGATACATAAGCAAATAAAAGAGATAAAAAGGTCGTCGTCACATAACACGCCGTCAGCTATAATTACGACGGCGAGAGCTGCACCTGATCACAATTCTCCTCATCAGATTGGAATGAAATTTAATTCAAAATTTTTGAGGTGCATTTTTAGGTTTTAATTAGGGTTTTCTACAAAAAAGCGATTCCAAATCCCTCTTTAATAATTTTTGACTAATGCGAATTTTTTAAGATTCAGAGGAAACTACTGCCATAGCCAATGTTGTACTTTTTGACTGTCCCGAGATATCCCAATTTTGTCCCATCGAATCTTTCAATTTTAGCTTGAAAAACTATATCAATGCAATAGTTAAGATATATAAAATTAAAATTTAACCATTTTTATTTAAGAGCTGAAAGATTATCTTTAATAAAATCTTTGCGTTTGTTTAAAATCTCAAATTTCTCAAATTTGTCCCATGTACAACACTGGTTATAGCTACTGGACAAATCACGACTGCACCAAACCAAAAATTACCAAGACTCACACTAAAGGAATAAGAAATTACAGCTATAGCTACCACTACTAATTTAACCCGACTACAATACCGATATCGATTCGAAACACTAGCATGAAACATGAACGTATGTGAGAACAATATAATATAATGAAGAACTGTTTGTGAAAATTATCCAAACGATGAAAAAAGATCAAACTGTGACAATTATCATTTCCAAAACAATATTAAACACGCATTAAGAAATTATATATCTGAAAAAAAATTAAAGTTTAACAGTGGGATAACGCTAAGTCCAATTTATTTGAGGCCAAATAGAACAAATGCTATTCGTTGTAGTTTTTAACTCTGTCTTGAAATTTATAGATATTTAATAAAAAAATACGTCATTTCACACTCAAAATCGATGTTCTTAAGAGAGCATGCGACTCTGAATTATTTCAGATTCTTCAATTAACAAGATCGTATCTAATTGTGTTTAACATTAATAACATTTTATTCAATTAACAATGCCAGCAATGCTATTTAATTACAAGACATTGTGGCTAGTTAAATCCGGGAGGCAACATTCGCTGTTGTTGGGGTTGTCCCGGCGCTCCAAAAGGACTTATTTGGCCTGGTTGTCCATAAGGATTGCTAGGTTGACCACTCATCTAAAATAAATATTTAAACACTGTTAAGACAAAAAGTTTTGGCTTTAAAAGAAAATATAAATATCATTAAATTGATCAATTACTAAGGCTTTTTGTTCATTTTCAAGTTGGATAATTTGATGCTCTTTTTCAAGTTCCAGCGCTAAAGGTAAAACCAAAATTATGGCAGAAGTGGTTAAAACCCAAAATACATTTCCTAGAAATCGTGCAGTTTTCAAGCCAAAGCCCGCTAATGTTGAAACATTATTTGCTATCGATTCACGCGTCTCTTCTGGTACAATATCACGTAAAGCTGCTAATCGTTCTGAAAGAGATTCAGGTTCTTCAGAAGAACCCGAGTCTAAAGAGCTAGTGTCGTCGTTATCTGAATGCTCGTCAGAATATTCATCATGACCTTCAGGCACCTTAGTATTTAATATCGTTAGTTTTTTAAAAACCATTAATTAGCTGAAAATTTCATAGATACCTCTTGAACTTCGACCATTATCTGTTATGTACGCACGCTATATCAGTATTTAAAATTTTATTTATTTATCTCAAAAAAAAAAAGATTATGTAATTTGCTGATCGTGACACTAAAATTTGACGTAGAGAGTGCACAAGTTTTATCACTTTATGTTCGAACATTTTAATGGAAGTTGCCATTAATAAAGAGGACGCTACAGAAAATGCCGAAGCTGGTAGTGCTAGTGCTACAGAGTTAGCTGAAAGCGCTAGCACGTTAGAAATCCAGCAGGCTTCGACAGCGTCAAACCACCAAAATTGTGAACTTGTTGAAAATATTGAGCCTAAAATACCAGAGAAACAGCCTGAAATTCGACTTGATATTCCTTTGACGAGTCGATATAATAACATAGTATACTTTCCCGATCTACTAAAGGAAGCTGGCTTTACAATTGCAAAAACACCTCCGCGTTATATATCAGGCTCAGAAACACCAGGTTCAGAATCACCGCAATCAGAGTGGTCAGATTTCGAAACTCCCGACGATTTTCGAACGCCAACGCCCCCAACAGCAATTGATTTGCCACGTGCTTTTCGTGATGAAAGCGATGAATTCTTTGAAAAAATCTTGGAGAACGCGGAAAAATATGCCGCAGGCGAAGAGGTATTTCTTTTAAATCAAAATTTAAAAACCTGTAATTATGTGTTCGTAATTGGTGCAGTATTTGTTTACATTTTTATAAAAATTTACAAATGTAAGGAAAAAACTCGTAAAAAAAAGAGAAGAATTATAAAGAAGGAACAACAATATGATGTGAATGATCCATTCATAGATGACAGTGAATTGGCTCCATTACAGCGCGATTACGGGAAAGTACGTCCACAAATTGAAGGGTTTTTTGTATGGAATGGACCATTGGTATTAGAAAGATTGGTTGATGAGTAAGTACCACTCTTTTTTATTGCATGAATTCAAGTTGGAAAATGCATATAATATTTTAGAACTTTGCTAAACAAACTAAAATTATCATGTTTATCATTAAATTCTAAAAAACGTTTATAATTATATTTTTTAGAGATGAGCCAGTGCCTAAGAAGAAAGCATCTGCTAAACGTAAACCAAAAACCTCTGAAGCCGACGGTACACCAAAAGTTAGGAAGGCACGTACTGTCAAAAAAACGGAAGGTGGTAGTGATGGAAAAGGCAAGGCTGCTGCTCCAAAAAAGAGAGTATCGAAGAAGTTGAAAACTGCGGGTGATATCAGCCAAGAATCGTCGTCTGTGAATGGAGGAGCTCACAATGGAATCAATCCCTTGAATCATTTACATATTGATCCTAGTTCAAATACACAGAGTACGAATGTTTCCACAGTAGGTGCGAGCAATAATAATCTTCATACATTAGCGCATCAACGAGATTCATCAGATCCTAATAAACCTCCGGGGAAAAGGAAAAAAGTTTATCCAGTGGTAAGCTTGAAGTCGCGCGTATTAAATTATTGTTTTCAAATATGTGTATTTTATTTTCTCATTGTAATTTTATATGCATAGGAACCCGTTCATCCAGATGTTCAATATCTTTTAGATATTTTCAAACAACAAGTAGACAAAGGTTGAATTACTTATTTTTTTTAACTTGAATTTTATTAGCTTGCTAAATGAAACCTTTTGCAAATATAAAGAATCTTTTGAGGTCAAGTCCAGATTTCCACAGAACCTTAAACCTCCTTTGATGGAACTTCTCTCAAGGGCTTATGAACTTAATCAATTCAACGAAAATCTTTTTAAAGTGTTAACCAACATGTTACCATATAATAAATTCACAATAACGGTTTGTATTGCTAAATGCAAGACATTCATTAGTCTAACCTTCACTTTTATATCATATTTTTGTTAATAATAGTTTATTATCTTTATATAATAGCGACTTTGTCAAAGAACTTTATATCCAAAAGCTTTGATAGAGTTACAAAAAAGAAAGTTAGAATTAATTGAGCGTTTAAAGATTGCAATAGATGAAATCATGCCCTCTTTATTACAAGAATTCGACGAACGAAACACATCTTTTTCTTCTTCAGTACCGATAAATGGTGATAACAATATTGAAATAGATTCCAGTATGGAAATTGATGGCGATGCGGATATTGAGCCTGATGTTGATGCTGATGCTGATGCTGATGCTGACATCAAATCTGACAGTAAATCTGATAGTAGTTCTAATAACAATAGATCAAAAGAAACAGCAAATGGCAAGAAATTTCGATGGGATGAAAACACAAGGTTTTTATTGTGGCAAATAGTTCAAGAAGAAATGGCATGGGTTGTAATGAGTAATTGCCTTGCGTAAGTATGCTTCCAAATAGTTTTATTGGATGTACTATACAAGAATTTAATTGATATTCATTATCTATATAGCGAGGCTGAAGAAAAATCCGAAAGACATTCTGAGCAAACTATGCGAAAAAGTTTATACCAAGATGTAAGTAAAATAGTAGTCACATTATTTTATTGACAAGATTGTAACATAATTTCTTGTTTTTAATTTCAAGCTATTGATGCTTTGGCCAAAGGGTTGGATGACTTCTTACGAAATAGCGCGTGTGTATAGTGCATACAAAAGATATCTTAGAGATAGACCAACTTCCTCATAATTTTAATTTTCATTATATATTATTACATTATTATATTACTTTATATACGTTAATAGAAGCAATAGAAGATTATTACATGATTTCTCTCAACTCACCACGTTCGCAATGTGAACAAATATAAGAAGATCAAAGACAATATAAAAGAATGAAACTCAATTTTGACATTTAGATTTAAGTCGATATATTCTATATTAAACTGGTACTTTACAAATAAATAATTTTGTAATATGAAGCTTTATAAAATCATGCTAAATAATTTTTTTTATCAATTAAACGATGTACATAATTCTTCTGAGCAATCACCATCATAATTTCCAACATTGTTGTTTTTTTCGCCCTTGTTTTGGAAATTTTTGTTATATTTTGTATTAGCTTTAGTTCTGCCTGAAAACCAGGTCTTTGTTTTTTCATTTATTTGACTATTGCCATTAGAATAAGCAGTATGCCTATCATAATTTTCATAAGTAATGCCAACATAATTGATACTCGAGAATGATACTTTTCGTTGTTTTAGCTGTTGATTCTTTTGTTGTTGTTTCATATACCCGTAACGGATTCGCTGTCGTAGAGGTGTATTCGGTAATGATGGTTTTGACATTTTTAATGCGAACTACATACAATTGGATGTGTCAATTATATTTTAATATAAAATTATTTAGTTGCATATTGCAGTCAGGGATTTTACCATATTTGGTTATCGATGATCGCATCTTATTTAGTAATGATCGTCGATCGGAAAATTATAGCTTTCTTTCCAGATTGTTCTACGTATTACAAAATTGACCAATCAAATTGAGAATCTATATGAATCGATTTGCTTCAACTTTAAGTGACTTTTCTCTAAATGCGATAGAACTCCGTAAGAAATACTTATAAAAAATTACGAGATGCACATACACAATTTGTTCCTTCTTGTTTTGGTGACTTTTTATTCGAACAAAAGTTATATTTATATTCCGTGATTGAAGAAGGAAAACAGGTTATTATTAATGATTTTGAGTATAATATATGTATCATTATAATACGACTCTAAGTTCTGACCAAATATGAAGTATATGCTTGGTCTTTATAAATGCCATTTCTCTTTAAGTGCATATTGCCAAAAATCTGGTCCCAATGAAATGCGCTCAGAGAAAGTTAACTGTAATAAACTTTTCTCATAACGAACCTTCTAATGAAAAAATCCTGGTACTAAGAAAATTATTATTATTATTTACAACGCCAAGTTCTGGCGAAGATACATATTAGGTTACAAGAACGAAGAAACATTCACAAAACAGCATTATATTATCACGAATTTTTATTGTATGAGTACATTTTTTAATTAAAAAAAAATACATTTAAAAGATCGTTTTACATCATGTACAATACGTATTAAATAATGTTTATTAAATTCATATAAATATATTGAATAAATTAAAGTACTTTTACCCAAATACGTGTCAATTGATGTTCGAACTGAATATAAATGGCTATGCTCTTTTCTTCTCGTTAGTATTGCTACAGTCAACTCTTTCTATAGCGAACTGACATTTCTAAAAAGCCCATATTCACTTTGTACCGAGTATTTGATTCTGGGGGGCAATTAATTGCAGTTATTTAATCTTAATTGTTTGCGCAGCCGCAATTAATAAATTTCGTCGGAGTTTGCAAATGTGTAACAAAAGGGAACACCTATTTTCACTATAGAAATTTGTTATTTCCACCACTCTTTATACATGATTTTCAGCTACATAAACATGACAAACACATTGCTATGATAAATTGTGTCAAAATGGCGGAAATAATAAATTTTCATAATGGAAATAGGTGTTCATTAAAAAAATCAAAGCCACCAAGTGATCTCTTTTAAAAAACCTGAACAATTTATATTTCTTAGCAAATTTGCAATTAATTGCAATTAATTCAGTAATTACAATTTTATTTGATTGTGATTGCATAAAATTTAATTGCAATTAAATTTTTAGTACCCCTAATATTAAAATTTAAAACTTTCAGTTCATTATATCCAGAGTTGACTGTATCACAGATACTTACATAACCGATTCTGAACTTTCAACACTATCAACATTATCATGTTCATTTTCTGAATTAAATAAAGACCTTACCTCTTCTAATACAATCAACAACTCATCACGTTTTTTAACTTTAAACCCATGGTACTGTTTCTGAACACTTTCGCTCATCTGCTTTAAAAATGCCTCAATTTTAGAAATTATTTCCGCTTTCTTCATGTTTGATTCTTCTTCTTGTGCGGTCTCTTCCTGCTTAGTGATTGGAATTGGTCTATAAAAAGAATCAGAACTATTATTACAAAAAGATTTAGTAACATATTCTTTTCGAGCTTGCTTTGCTAAAGCTGTAAAATTTGTTAGCTTTGAACTTAATTCATGTTCTCCTAAACTTCTACAGATCGTTCTTGATTCCTGAGCGCCAATAAAATTATCTTTTCTGAGATATATTCTAAATCTCTGGCTTTCTGCAATTGATTCCAGTCATGTCCTTAAACCAGTAACTTGAAAATCGTAATACCCAATCGACCTAAAAAAGTTGCTCCACAACTAAAAAATAAATAAAATTATTTAAAACCAAATAAAATAAAAATGATCAAAAAATAATAAAAAAAACAGAAAAAAACATAGATTTTATAATACGATTAGTAATCTGAAGGAATTTTTTGCAATTTCTTGTAACAATTTTCCAATAACATGTTTGTGGAACTGAAGATATTAACGATTTCAGGGTTTTATTTATTTCTTCTAAAACTGCATTCAAGTCCTAGTGCTGATTGAAGAGTCCTGATCGAGAAACTACACTATATTTTTCTACAATATTTCGTATGCTTGGATCAAGCTGCATCAACTGGATTTCATCCGCGACCTCTATTAGACGATATATTAAATGATGTCTTGCTGACCATACTGGAGAAAAGACTCTTTTGGTTGCTCTTTTCAACAATGGATTATTGTTTCTAATTGCTGTTCTGTAATTAGTAATGGCTTGAAGATACAAAAATATCTATTTAAAAATAAATAAATAAATAAAAATAATGTTTAATAACAAATTTATCAAATATTTTAACAAATATAATTGTTTTACCTGCTCAAACTTTATTTGGTAAAGTGGATCCTTTTGTCTTTCTACTCAGACTAAGTATCCTTCGATCAACAGATTAGAACAGCTTTTAATATATAGCCACATCAGCTCCATAGCCATTGCCTGATGATATATATTGCAAACAGAATCCCAAGACTTGTGATGGTCATAACATTTTTTGAAATAAGCGAACTGATTCTTCATTTTATACTCTTGGCATATTGTGAATTGTTTGAGATCAACATCCCTTTTAGAAATATAAAACATGTAAGTTTAAATTATGTAAATTAAATAATTTAATTTAAAACTATACAAAGTTAATTTTTTTGTTTTGTCTTGCTCGCCGATTCAAATTTTTCAAAACTTGAAAATTTTTTCTTAATAATAGGATAATAAGCCCAATGTAGTAATTTAATTTACTCAAAAGTTAATTAAAAAACCTGGAATCGTCACTATAATATTTGAATAAATAAAAAGTAAAATATCTTTCAAGAAAGTACTAAAAGACTTTGGATACTAAAAACTCATGAATTAAATACGAACATGAGTTTATTAATTTCGATTAATAACAAAAAAAAAATCTGACCAACTCGAGATACTAGGCAAAAAAAAAAACAAAAAATCATGACCTAGTACAAAACTGTTAAAATTAAACTTGCCAGGTTAGTTCCACATATGCCTGAAACATGTTCATCTCTTTATAGAGTTGTCCAGGAATAAGAACCAGCCAAGGATATTTATTTTTGATTTTAAATATGCACTAGTACAGGATGCCATCACATGTAACAGCCACCTATTTGCATATTCTGCTTTTAATTCCTGAAATATTCTCAATATAGGAAAAAACTTTTTCAACATTTATTGTTAAATTAGAGTTAATATTGAGAGGATCAGAAATAAAAATTTCAGGAACATTAACTTCCTGATCTGCAATATGCTTCTGACTAACACTAATTCTTGGTTCGATAAGTAGATTTGTCTTCTTTTCAACATGATACGGTTTAAAGATTACCAATTGGTCTATAATACCTTTCTCTATCTCAGGAACTTCTTGTCTCGTTAATTCAGCCAATGTTGATAAGCAGGCTCTGCACTTTGGACAAAGTTGCTTTCGATTGTCAATATTCTTTTCTCCACAATTAAGGCATTGTTTATTACAGTAGCTACTAGATTCTATATTAGCTACAAAAGAATCAATATAATTAGTGGTAGATAATTTTTCTTTGCATAATAGTTCAAGAATTTCAGTAAGATAATTATTTAATTCTTGATCTATCACTTTTTGCATCTCAGATGTAATTTCAAACAGAGGGTCATATTGAAGCCTGCTAAAAGAACTCGATGCCCAAGGTGAATTAGTATATTGAATATTATTTTAAGAATCCATATTAAAAATAGCAAAACTAGTGACAATATGAAATATCACCGTATTCATTTCTCGATCAAGATAATTACATTAACCTTTTTGTTCATTATCAAATGCTATGAACAAAAGTCCTTTAGGTAAAGGTTCTTCATTTTCTGAAAGTTCATTCAACCAGCTTTGAAAATGAGAATAACCACCTGAACTTGTGATATGGTTGTCAATATTAATAATGGTTTTTGATCATGCAATAAAATACTTAACAGCTGATGCAACAAAATTTATTTCCGATATGTATTTCCTGTGTCTGGACCTGTATATTAAATCAACAGTCATCGCTTGTTTAAAAAGCTTTTCGATACTTATGGAATCTAAATTGAGATTATTGTGAGTTAGTGTTTCGATGAATTTTACGATAACTGGATTGCGACTACTTAGCCATGTTTGAGGAGTATAAGTTAATAGGTTTTCTAAAGAAAACCTATTATTATCTTTGATCAGAAATTCAATATCTTCATATAAATATTCTCTTTCAAGTTGCGCGATATTAATAACTTCTTGTATACATTTATCCCGATCACTATGTCGAGAATTCTATTGTTCAATAAGCTGTTTATTTACTTTGCATTGTTTTTGGTATAAATTCCTTAATCTAACTATCTTTTCATAATATTCAGTTAATTGTTTTTTTAATTCTACTATTTCCCTATTTTGAGTTTCTATTCGCACCAATAATTCTGTAATTACGTTAGCAAGATTCGTTACATCTTCGCTTTTTTCTCAACTTTCCATTTGATTTTCAGTTCTTTTAAACTCTACACGTAAATATGACTCATTCTGAATCCTAGAATTAGAAATAGAATCAGACATAGAATTAGAAAAGGAATTAGGAAGAGAATCAGAAATAAAATCATTATTAAAATTAGTGTTAGTTTGAGATTTTTTGTCTTTGTGACTAGAAGATAGACTAAATGAATTATTTAATAGACGCTGGTAAAAATGGTCTTTAGCGACAATTTGATTATAATGTATTTGGCAGATCAAGTAGGAACTTAAATTTGGTTGAAGATCTATGAGTTCAGACATAAAAACGTGAAATAATGGAAGCCGACTAACTGCTATCTTACTGTCAGCATGTC